TTTAATCGGATGATCTGTTTATCCCTCTTACACCGACGTGATGGATGCCATTAGTTCAAAAATTGGTGCTACTCTTTTTCGGATTATACATTATACTCTTTTATATTTTAGATCATTTCTTATTTCTTTCTTGGTCGCAAATGGGCTGATCTCCTGAGGTGGCAGATTAAAGCTTTAAAGCTAAAAATGTCGCCTATGGAAATCGCATTGCAACTGGCTCGAAATAGCTGTGTACCGGAACAAGCTAAAGACATCATCACCCATAAATTTTGCATAAACTATTGCCCTAAATGTTAAACGGTTGCTAGCTTATATGCTATTTTGCCACACTAGCATACATCCAGATTAGACGCAGTGTTAGTGAAATTTTCTGAAGCAATATACTGCATAAAAGCAGTTCACCTTGTGGCCGTTCCACGGAAGGCTATTTTACATCCAGTGGATTTCTCGGTATACCTTCATTTCGCATTGCTCGCAAAGTCCGTAATTGTTCACCCACAGCCAATGTTCACCCACTCTAGAAACACGAACAATCGCCTGCTTACACGATCCCCCTGTACATAAGAATCAAACTATTCAATTGGACGTGCCCTATGCTGTGGCTGATGTTGCATTCTTAACGCTACTTCACCGCAGTTGGGCTAAACCAACTTACACTTAAACTGGGTCCTTTTAAGCTGGATAAATTTCCTACCAATTTATTTGTTTTGTTCTGCCTACATGAATAATCTTCTATTAACTGGCCACGTTGCTTACGCTACTTGCTCTTATCTTCGGTAACTTTGTTGCGTTCATAGCATTTTTAAGTAACTGGTGGACATTTTTTTTACGGCGGATTCCTTGCCGGCCAACTTACTTTATATGCTAATTTAGCGAATACTTATGCCACCGTATCTGTATGCATTATTGGATTTGTTTTATTTCATCTCGTCGTTTCAGGTGATTAGCTGTTGCTTGATATCCCCGGTGCGGTTGCGCTTGATGTGCATGTTGACTAGGGACCTACTAGTTTATTACCAACCACCGTTCATACGGGCTCCAGGAGACAGTTGGTCGTTGCTGGAAGGGACGGGGTGCACGGTCCTTTTAGACATGCTAGGCTCAGAGAGTAGTTCAATTCACTCAGTGTGGAACGGATTACGATCCAGCCACCGCTTCGTGTGCGCTTAATTCCAAAACTACAGTGTGCTTGTGTTTTATTGTGAATGAGTGTTGGCCGGCTCCGTTGATGAAACGTGGCTCCCAACCACATGCTTCCCGGTCTTATTCCTCCAGATTTACACTGGATATGGGGTGTGTGGTTGGAGTTGTTTGTGGTACAGCGCAAGACACCCGTGGTCCCTCTGGAGGCGCAGGCGTCCTGTGGTTGGCCACAGTGACAGGCAGTGGCAGGCAAGTCCGAAACCGGATGCCGCCAACCATTCAATTGGACTGTGCCCTGCACCTTCGAGAAATAAACCGTTCATTAATTATGTATCCATGTGTATATCCAACCAGATGTCAACGAGATAATGGCTTATCTACTGACAATTTAGGAGCAGCAGCGTTTACGTCATAATCTGCTGTCAAATTTTTCTCACCTAAGCTTTACGTACGGTCTATTCGAAAGGATAACCCACCTAATTAGTTGCCTTTGCTGGCTAGTAGGTTTAATGGCAACAAATAACATGCGTTCCTCCGAATTTAGCTCGAATGTTGCGCATTTCATTTCAGAAATCAAGCAGTTTTGTACAAATTGAAATGTGCGTATTGAAAGGATACTACTCGACATATGAGGGCGCATTCCGTGCAACATATTCCAAACGAATTGAGGTCAGATTATCCCGTCTACCATCGTGATATCTAACCATCCAATCTATTTACCCATTTTGTGACCTGAGTGGTTTTCTGTTTTCCGCCTTAGCAAAAGTTAAATGCTTCGACTGGTTGAAAAATCAATGACACCCTTAACTTTTAGCAGCTGAGTGTAGACAAGAAGCATGAGATAAAAACACACCTATGCCACCTAATGCACCGTTATCTGCACTCTTCTGCCGGAGTATAAAATCGGAACAACACTTAACCATCTAGTGGCTTGAAGACATAAACGCTACATTTCACGATAACAACGTTGATTTAAAGGACGTAATTCATTCTAAACCATAATTGCGGCTTTGCTTCAATTAATGCATGCAACATTCGATACTAACCTAGACTATATCATTGGCAGCACGCGTGCACGGTACGTCGCTCCTCGCTCAAATTTTCCCTATTCGACTCCCGCTCGACGTCTTTCATAGACCATTAGGAGGCGGATATACCCAGTGCCATGAGGTGGCAGACACGACAGACAAATCTGTATCACCTTAAGAACAACTGAAGGGGGCGTTGCTTCACTCTAATGCGGACCGCAGTGGCAGTAACATAGTAACTGCTATCACAACACTTCATACACATCAGTAATTTTTCAACGTTCTCATTATTATCGCTGTATTTCATAGGCCACATATACATAATTCCGATCCTCCAAAGGATTCTTCATCTAACACGACGACGATGGAAGTCTCAAACACGACGTTAAATATCAGCAAGTTGTGCAGTATCTCGTGAGTTCTCAATAATTCAATAGTTCAATAGTTCAATAGTGTATGGTGGGATAAAAAGCAATAACTTTACAAGACCCACAGGATGGCAAATGGAAGAAAACAAAAGTTTCAGGTGTGACACAAAAATATCAGTAAGTTAGACACTGCAGTTTGTCATACCGTTATATAATGTGTATCATGTAAGTGCAAGTTCAATAGTCTTTCCAATGTCTCGATGTTTGGTGCGTTCACCACATGCGATGGCAGTGCGTTCCAGTGCGGTCAGACACTAAGAGAATAAAAAAAACTTTCTACAATCTAAACGGGAATATTGAGTCACAAGTTTTAGTGCATGGCCTCGGCATCGTTTGTCGGCAGATAATGTTAACAGCGACTTACATGGATGGTCCTCTTCTCTTAGTATCCGGTAAGTGAGGATCAGATCACCGCGAAGTCGTCGGTATTCTAAGGAGTAAAGACCGATCGAACGAAGGCGCAGTTCATAACTAAGGCCCGATAGACCACGTGTTGCCTTAGTGACTCTTCTTTGTGGTTGCTCCAGGAGACGAATGTCCCGTTTTAACCACGGACGCCATGCCTGCAGCGCATACTCGAGGTGGAGACGAATGTAGGCGTTAATCAATAATGGCACGAGTTGTCGCTCGAAGGTACCGAGCGCTCGCCTCAAAAGCCTCAAGTTTTAGTTCGCTATGTTACCTGCCTTTGAACATTGGAGCGAATTACCCAGACCTTCTTGCACGATGACCCCTAAGTCTCTTTCGTTGCTCATCTGTTTTATAACGCGCTGCCCCAGGTGATATGTGTTGCTGCAGTTACTGCGCAGCGACAACAGGTGACACTTTTCGGGGTTCAGGGGTAGTTGGTTGTTTACTGCCCATTCGTGAATCCGGTTCAGGTCATCCTGCAGATGGACAGGGTCAGATGTTGACTGAATAGCTCGCCACATCTTAGCATCGTCGGCGGATATTTGCATAGGTGATTGAATGTTGGCAGGGAGGTCGTTGATATAGACTAAAAAGAGTAACGGGCCGAGAACTGATCCTTGCGGTACGCCGCTAGTGACGCATAGGCTATCGGAGTGGGTGTTGGCGATCCTTACCTCGATTCTTCTGTCGTATAAGTAACTTTCCAAGCATGTGAGCAAGGATCCGTGGATACCATGGGCCACAAGCTTTCGGAGAAGTGCTGGGTGATTGACTCTGTCGAATGCCTTAGAAAAGTCTAAGTAAATCACATCTACGGGAACTCCCTCGTCAGCAGCCCTGGTCCATGAGTCCCGAGCAAGTAGTAGATTGGTGAGGCAAGATCGTCCGCGTCTGAATCCATGTTGGAGGTTGGAGATGATTTGTCGACTTTCAAAGTATCTCACCATTTCATCAGCGATTATAGACTCCATCACTTTTGATAGAACAGGAAGGAGAGTAATAGGTCGGTAGTTGGCAGGGTCTGACCGCTTACCTCCCTTGTATATTGGAGTGATAAGTCCACGTTTCCACTCAGACGGTAGTGTATGAGAATCAAATAGAAACTGGAAAAAGGTTGCAAGGTGGACTGCCATGGTGGGTGCAAGGGTTTTAAGTACTTTCGGACAGATCTTGTCAATTCCGGGCGCACTATTTTCCCTGAGCGACTGTAATTTCTTTGCCACAGATGTAGGGCTAAAGTTGACCGTGGATAAGCCGACAACATTTGCTGGGATGTAGCAAGGCGATGGTTCCATGGTGTGTCTAGTCACTGAGACAAACTGCATGAGCAATGCGTCCGCGGTCTCCTCTTCAGTAACCGTTAGGCCATTGACCGACTCTAGTGGTGGTATTCCCGTCTTAACCTTCCTTCTGTCATTCACATACCGGTAGAGCAGTTTGTGATTACTAGTAAATTTGCGTACCATAGTTTCCTGCCATTCGTACTTGTCAGCTTTAAGGAGTGAAGTGCAGTAGTTTCTGACTGTTTTGTAATGATTCCACGTGATATCATTTGGACCTAGCAAATGACCCCTCCAAGCCTCGCCTCGCCTATTCAACCACTTACGTGTTCTACTCCGGATCCAGTTGTTGCTCCGTCGCGAAACTCGTAATGGTATGTCTTTTGAAGCTGATTGTAGGACCCAGTTTATCTTGCTTTTCAACACTTGCCAGGCATCATTCGCCGAAGTGTGCATCTGGAGGTCCCAGTCAACGGTACTATTCCTCAAAAACGCACACATACCCGACAGATGCAAACCAAACTACTTTTCACAACCAGGAAGTATACTAGACCGCATGCAAAAGCCGCTGCGGGATAGAGCGCCAAGTTCAGCCCGGAGCTCCGCGAAAACACGCCGAGTGCAGCGCACACGTATTCCGAAGCAGCTGATTGGACAATCAGTTGGCACAATTGGTTCAGTATATTTGCACGTGTAAACAGGCAATTCGCACGGTCGTGATCAATATACCTCTCCGCATACCAGGTTTCATTCTCCACGCCCACTAGTGTGGTTCAGCAGTCTAACGATTAATTAGTTGTGGTGGTGTGGTGTAATTTGTGTGCTCGAATTTATTATATCTTACTCGACTTGAAGCAATGTCGGCCGACAGCAGCCCCCTAATCTCTACTGTGCCCGAGAATGAGCTTTTCATTCAAGGTGAGTTCAGTTTCAAGTTCCTTTCTCTTACATTTGATGGCACATAAATACTTTCGAAATTCTTAATCCATCTTTGGTTATACGTACGGCAAATATCAGGTACAGAAAAAACACTTTTAGTCCTTGTTGTTCCATACTTATCAGAATATCTGATGTAAGGGTAATAGTGGATTGTGGTCCAACTTTGGCTGTCTGACCTATGCAACGGTTTATCTAGTAGCGAGAGCTGTACTTCAAATTTGGGACAGTGATTGCAGCCGGTCACCGTTCTCAATGGTTGGGCCAATAACATAAGGGCCGATGACGTCAGTCCACACCGCGGCATCGCGTCCAACGCGCGCGTTGAAATCACCCAGTAAGAATAGTGGTTCGCTCCTCGGCCCAGACAGTATCAAGTAGGACAACAAAACATTAAACGGCATCCTTACGTCAGCAGCATAGCACATGGTAGGACTATACGTACTAATAAATGTGGCAAATTTACCCTTCTAAGTCAAACGCGAAGGATCATTCGTCAGGGCACATGTCCGTCTATTTTTCCACCAACTGACAGTTCAGGCGATCGTATAGTGCAGATTTGATCCCACGTTTAGGCGGTACTGTTGTGTTCCCCACTTATTAAAACGTGTAATCAAAATCAGCTTCATACAGTTTGCCTTAAAATGTTTCGAAATACTGGTAGCTCGGAGAACAAATGAACAACAGTTTGCCTTATTCAAGGAGCCAAATCTCAGTTAACTCGAAAATATCCATGCCGTAGCGAGCGAGGTCCATCGCGACTAGTGCCATGCGTCACTCGGGTCGCTGACTCATGTTCCGGTCGAGCTGTTTGCGAACGTTCCAGCACCCAAGGTTGAACGATTTGCGCGGAGCAATCGGTTTTGCGATGACCTGTATTGTAACAGGTAGTGGGTTAGGTGAAATAGGGACCGGGAGAGTTTGTGAAGTTGCTGGTACCATATGTGATCGCATCAGAAGTAGCCACAGGATTTGACCATGGTTCATGATCAGGGACAACAGACGCGTATCTGGCCACGCTTTCAGCAGTCACGGTTTTGTGCTGTTGTGTCCGTATGGCCCCCAACACAGATTGACTCGCAGGATGGAAGTCGCCGAAGTTGATGGAACTTGACTGTCTGCCAGGGAGCGGATTTGAAACATCTGTGTACCAATCATCACAGGTTAACCCTTACCCTGACTCACACACTATGTTCAATTTGGGGCCCGGTTACGCTTGACTACAAAGTGGAACATTAACCAGGTCTCGATTCTACTACATAATGGAAACTAAACTATAGCATTTCTGTACCAAAGTAGTTATGCAACTAACAATTTGGAATGTGACACAATAATTGCGGAGCCAAACGAAGATTGATTTCTTGATCAGGGCTTTTACTTTTCCTATAAATAAACGATCACCTTTGGCGACTGTCGGTAGCAGTTTTATCAGCAGGTCCCTGGCCCATATAAAGTTATTACCTCGGAATCCATGTATCGAGCTTTATCCTATGAGCCAGGTAGGATCATAGTGGACTCAAGGAGGAAATAAAATAAACAAGAATATCAGGGTGGGCGAGAAATGGCCATAAAATAATTTCTAGTAACAATAAATAAAGCATAAATATTTAGCAAAGTACAATTCAAAATATAAACAACAATGTGCCAGGAATATAAATAAATGTTTTTGTACTTTCCCTAGTTAATGTGTTGGGACAACTAAATTGCTGAATCATGCCGAAAGCATTACCGTGCATGAAATGTACTCTAGAATGAAAAAACAAACTACTAGCAACAGAATCTGGCGTTAAGTACAATCAGAGGGAAAGGGGCATTATCTAAGAATTGTCAACATGTTAATGTATGAAGCAGACGTAATAGGAAAACTGACATAGATGTTGTTGAATGATGATTTCTAAATTATTAAACAGTCTACGAATTTGGTATAGCACACTAGTAACAGTTGTTACAACTTGCAGCGATGCTCATCTCGAAGGCATGCAATTTTACACGCTTAAATGCGCACCTACTTCAGGAATCGTAGAAAACAAGATGCAAGGTTCAATATCATGGCTATATTGCATGTATCTTGTGAGGTTAGTCAGATTCATAGCTAATACTCAAACGTTTATGCTTACTGATGTGCAAGTAAGAATAAGCTACATTGTAGGGAACTCAATGTTTGTCATCGCGCAAACGCGGTTACATGCACTATTTGCGACATAAAATTCCATATTTCATGCATCGATTTATCTGCTGACCAATTTAAACTTCTGTTCGCTATCCAGCATAAGTTGGTCGAAATATAGTTTACAATGCGGCAAATAGAAGTGCGATCATCTGCAGTCTATGAAACTCTCGAGCAAATAGGGCGGGCGAAACGTTCCCTAAGGAGGAGCTCCGTGGGTTCTTCCCACCCCTATGTCGGGACCAGTCTACTTGCCAGTCAGCTGCGAACTCTTCGGGACGATATCCAAACCTATCTGGAGACTCAGTCGCTCTGTTTGTGTCTTTGTTGCGTCAGACTGGCCAGAGAAACTCGGTGAATGGCGAATGGCGAACACAAAGAACTAAGAAGAAGAAAGTAACGACCAGCAACCATCGGCGTCGCAACCGCATTTCAAGCGCTTGAGTCAACGGATACCAATCCCCAGGCTCATAATGATTAGTAGGTCGAAATTCTAGCTACTGTTTGATAATGTTCTCTAGGTGGGTGAACAGGTGTTGAGGATGAAGCAAATCACCCGTCTTAGGAAAAGATTTGTAAGATTCGAACTCTGCGAGTCAGCTTTGCTGATGACGCGAGTCTGGCGGTGGTATTATCCTGCCTCGCTAGACTAAAAGTGTTGAATGTATGTATTCGTGCAGATTTGGAAACGTTTGTATCACCGTTTGTTTCGGTTTCAATATCGCATCTTTCCGTGCTTGCTAATAATGCACGAAAGGACGGCATCCTCTCCCAAGCTACTTATTATGATAGATTAAGATTTGGAGACGTCAGACTGAGACAAACTAAAATCCGACATCATTGTGTTGAAGCGGTTTAACAATGGCGGAGAAAGGAATCACTGCATCCTAAATTTTCGGGTACAGCCCCGGGTCCACCGAACCCGGATCAACCGGTCAATGAGGCTTCATTCGAGACCGGCAGTTCCAATAACGGCCTGCGCGTAACTTTCACAAATGTTTGTAGTTCAATGAGCGTGCATGACGAGCTATCTCACTTCGTTGCCTCTCGTCTTCCGGACATAATGGGACTGACTGAAACCTGCTTAAAGCCTGAGGTCGCCACCCAGGAATTCTAGATCAGTGACTACTTGTGTTCCGGTGCGAATGATTATCAAACGACCGCGGTAGCGTGCTGTTATGTATACGGCCATTGCTGTGCGGGAGACTTGTAAACACCTATCGGAACGAAGATGGCCCGTGCGAACAGTTATGGTACTCGATCCGTCTGAACAATCGTGAATTGTTTGTGGGTGCGGCTTATCGCAACCCGCGATGTCGATGGCTGGAATGGTGACCGCATGTCAACAACTATATGAGTCGGCCTCGCTTCTTGCTTATGGGCGATTTCACTTCACTCGAATACTATGGCCTGAGGCCCAACGTCTTCCCTGGCACTGTGAAATCGAGGGGCAATTTGAGGAGATGATATTTGAGATTGGGGCAGCACAACACGTCTGCCAACCGACGTGCGCTGCACCGCATTCCGCTTCATCGTGCTTGGACCTACTATTAACTAGTTGCGAGCGACGTGTTCAGGCTCTGGAGCCTCGGACAAGTACAATGAACATTGAGTTATCACGGTTGCATGACAAGTCCCGTAGGATGAATGGAGTATAAAGTAAAATTTGAAGGATCATCGAATAGGTGAATGGTTATTTCAAACGTCCACCGAGTTAAATGTACTACCGCACAACGGTAGTTTTAAGTGCGAATGGGATGTGCACACGCAAACTATTATAGAACACTCTTAAAATTCAGTAGGTGCATGAGAAATAAATGGAACTGACAATGCCCACTCGTTTGTTTCTTCATTTGACAGATGTGATAGGTTAATCCCGTTTAGCTACATCCAGGCTAATCACATGGACAATACTACATGTATCCTCACCGCCACGTTGCGGAGAGGGCCGTTAAGCACACGGTAGGACTGCGTTGTTTCGTCCTCCAAGCGGAGCGGACTATATCAAGTGATGCAAGTTTGTAAGCGTTACGTCAAGGTACTTTTTGAAAATAGTTAATGTCGGAGCAAGGATAACTTGAGCTGGAAGGGCATTCCAGGCACGGGACACACGGAGGGAGAAAACGTTGCGTCGACAATCAAGTTGAGTGTAGTGCGTAGGCAGTTTGAGCTGATGACCTCTCAGGCTGGTATTTCGGCTCAGCTGCAACAGGTTGCGACATGGGTAAGTTGGGTTCGTCAATATTAAGTAAGCCAGGACTAGGTCTCCTGGTTGACGCCGATTTTCACCATAGTACAATCTCAGGGACTGCAGTCTGTGTTGATAGGAGTGATGAAAGAATCCTCTAACGAGTTTGGTCGCTCTACCTTGCGGAGCTCCAAGTGCATCGAGGTCGCGCCTGCGCCAGAGACGCCAGGCCTGGATCGCATATTCCACGAAAGGTCTCACGTAGGCGTTCAGCATTTGCAGAAAGATTGATGGCTCAAAATGGCCGAAAGCCATCCGTAAGAGTCCAAGATTTTGACTGGCTCTTTTTGATGGCTTTTCAACGTGTCTCTAGCAACAAAGGTCGTCCTGCACGATCAGCCCGAGGTCGTTTTCTTGGGAAGCACGTTGTATTTACTAGTCCCCAAGTCGATATTCGTAGGTAAGCTGGTGACTTGTGCCTAGGACATTGCACTTGGTCACGTTGAACCGCAGCCGGTTGTCGGATGACCACGCATAATCCCCGTCGAGATCGCTCTGCAATGCCATGTGATCATCCGATGTCCCGATACCATGCCAACTTTTGATACTATCGGAAAATAGTAAGAA